GAAGGGAGGGAAACCTGCACGTGAATGTTCAGAGCATCCATCTTCGTAAGTGCCAAAAAGTGTAAACAGCCCAGATGTCCATCAACTGATGAACGAATGATGATGAATGAAAATGCGGTATATCCACGCAGCGGAATATTACTAGGCAAATAAAAAGGGATGAAGTACTCACATGCTACAACATGGATGCACTTTGAAAACGCTAAGCTAATGAAAGCAGCCAGACACAAAAGGCCGCTTACGATTCCGTTTATGTGACATGTTCAGAACAGGCAAATGGATAGAGACAGAAAGCGGCTGCCAGGGAGTAGGGAGAAGGGGGAACAGGGAGCGGCTGTCGGCAGCTGGAATTGCTACAACCCTGTGAATACACCACAACCCTCTGAATACACCACAACCCTGTGAATACACCAGAAAAAACCCCACTAGCTTATGCTATGGGAGGTTGTATATTCTGTGAGCTATACTCAATTCTTAAAAACCACGATGGCCTGGTTTTTGTCTTCTTTCTTGTGTTCGTACCTGGCTTAGCATAGAATCAAAGGCATCGATTTAAAGGTAAAAAGCACAGTTTACCCTTAAAGAGGTCCGCATCGCTCCGCGTTACCCACCCCGTAACTTCCCGCTCACTTGTAAACGCCCAGGGACACGCACAGTCAAGTCAAAACCGGAAATGAAAGAGACGCCGACTCTGGATAATATTTAGAGGCATTTTTTTTTTTCCTTCCTTAAATATAATTATTGTCTGGGTGAGGCTTGCATTACGGAGACGACGCAGGTCACGCTGAGGATTTCAGCAGTGCGGCCGTCTGCAAAGCCGTCTGTCACTAAACACTTCCGTGGGTGTGTCAGCGCAACCGGCCACTCTGCCACGGTGACGATGGCACCACCTCTTCCCGCCTTCTCCGAGCACCGCCTTCCACAGCCTCTTCCTAGGATCCTGCGACATTCCCGTCCCCAGAACCATTCTTACGTTGGCCGCTGAGTGCTCCTCTCGTGCACGGCGTCTACTGCGGCCTTCTGTCAACGGTAGGGATACGCGCTGTACGAAACGCTTATTAAATCATCCTTGCTTGAGAAAGCAGAGTCGTGGGATGCGCCAACTGTCTCTGAAGAGGAGTACAGACCCCTGTGAGCTCCGGTGTCACCGGTCACAGGCCGGGATGCTCGGCTCCCCGGAAGCAGGGCGAGAGCTTTAAATAGATCACTCTCGTCAATTAACGGAAAGTGAACACATAGCTTGTGACCTACCCATTGCTGGCACTAATTAGCACGATGATCGTTCTTTGAAAAAGGAATAAAGACAGGAACAAACATATCTACTCGATTATGTGCTTTCTTCTAATTTTTACAGAAAAACTGCCAGGTTGTAAGAATCAAACAGGGTGCAAGAGTCATATACATATTCAGTATCAAAAAAGGCATAATGTTATGTTCAGTGGCAAGACTTGGAAATGGATCACAACTTTTTTTGGTGAAGCATTTTCTCTAACACTTGATTCGCCCATATTCTCCAAACTGAGCAAGAGACAGAAACAAAATACGTGGCTCTCACTCTGATATATTCGAGGCAAAGGAAGCCCATTCCTTTCCTTAAGCCGACTACAAACAATTATTCCATAATAAACACGCCCTCAAAATCGTCAGCAATCTAGGAAAGACGCTGGGGATGTGTGTAACATAAACAAAGGCGCCGATTTTTACTCTATTTTATTTAGAAAACCAACTCGGGCGTGGACACCGAACTGTACCTTTCTTCGGCACACTTTTCAAATGATAATTTCTTCCACTGTCACCATTAAATCTTAATCCATTCCAGCTCCCTGCATGGGTCATTGAGTCTATATGTACTGCTGTTATTTTAAAGTGTTTCCCCTCGGTCGGGAGAGAGGGGGAGAAAGGGCGCTGAGAGCCAGATGGGCCTCTTCACAGTTCATTTATCAAACCTAATACGCTGGGCTCCACCCTCCTCTCACTCACTATTGCGGTTAAACTTCCATATAATTTGGTAATCATTTTCATTATCGCAGAGTGACCTCAAAGCAGCCTATCCGGGGCTACCCGGTCCTCGCAGCTGCTCTTTTTCTGCCTTTTCCTACAGTAGACCCTAAGAGCCTCGGAGTTTATTAGCTGCAGACTGACCTTTGGGCTGCAGAGGTCAAGAAGGGGTCAGATCAGAGGGCTTGCCCAGTTCTTTAAAAGCTATAACAAGCTGTCCATCAGGCAGAGTGGACTGTATAAACAAAGCCGAATCTTCAGAAATTCTGTACGACTTCTGTTAACACTTACCCTGCATTCACACGGCTTCTCCCGACGTATTTTGGATCATTCAACTCCGGGGAAGTGAACAGACAGCCCTAATAAGCCTATTTGAAGAGGGTTGTTTATGGGATTACGGAGCTCGGGGCAGGAAACCCACAGCACTCAGCGTGCCTCTGGAATCGCGGGGTTGTATGACGCTGTGACAAACTCGGTTACCCCGAGTCATGCGGAATTGACACTTTCCTCCAAAAGCTAAATTACAGGGAACATATGCTTTCAGTTTAAGAGACTTTAGCGAGCCCCAAACAATGGCTTGGCTCCTGGCCTGAGAGATACAAAATATTTTAAAACCAAGTTACGAATTTCGCTTAAAATTCCCCGATATCGTTCCCACAGATGAACCTGCTGCAGGCGGAGATGGGGAACCTCCGTGACAGCAGACTTGGAGCTACTGCCAGCGGCGGGGTCTCAGCTGGCCCAAAGTTCTTGAAGCTGTGCTGTTGGCGGCACATTCTCTAACGTGCAATATAAGGTGATGACTGTCACCTGTATTGAGCTTTCAGGGGGAAACGTTTCCATGATTATCTAATCTAACTGATGCCCCCGATAGCTTCGACGAAAGGAAGACGCCGCGACCTGTCGCTTGGCCTTTGGCGAGCATTCACCATCTTCCGTCAGGGCACATTTTTCGGCGTGGGACCCTGTCGGGCCCAGGCGGCTGGCTGAGTCCCACCGTGGCTGTGGCACAACTTCTGCCTCCACGTGCCCGGCAGCTACACGAGGCAACGGCCGACGCCAGGCTTCCAGGGGACACTTCGATGGGGGAAAGGGAGGTGCACGGGAACGGTCTGTGTGTCCGGATCACGTGGATGAGTCTTTCAGGCAGGTCCCAGGGATGGGAAACATCAAATGGGGGTGGCGTGGGGGCGGGGGGAAGGGTTCGGGTTATTTAATACTCGGGACCCTTTTCCTTCGGAGCTCTCAAGACAGCGCCCGCGCGGAATTTTCTTTCAGGTGTTTGGTTTTAGGGAGGCCTGCGCAGTGTCAGCGGCCAAGCGCCCCCGTGCCCCTCCCGCCGCAGAGGGCTGGAGAGGCTTTGTTTCAGATGCTAGACTACATCAACTTCAACGCTGGCTCCAGCCCCTGATTAAACTGCTCGCAGTAAGGGCCAGAAGTGCTGAAACCAGACTCCTTTTAAACAGGCCGTTTCGGCCACGTTGTCGGATGATTTGGGGGAATTAGGAAACTTTTGTTAACAAACCAAATGCACTCAACAGAAGCCGTCCGTTCTCAACATTTGGTCTCTGAGCTGCGCTGTCTTTGGAGGAATAGGGATGGTGGGAGAGAGATTAGAGGGGAATTCTTTCTTTCCTCTGTCTCCTCTCTCTCTCTCTCTCTCCCTCTCTCTCTCTCTCTTCCTCCTTCCCTCTCTCCCTCTCTCTCTCTCCTCCTTTCTCCCTTTTCTATTTAATAAGAATCACCCGATAAACACAGAGAGACAAAAACCTCTTAGATGTCCCCACACTAATATTTCATTCTTTAACAAAATATGTGTGCTTTACTGAATATACACACTTACACTGTAACACAAAGAGAATTTTAAAATTAATTATTGAAACTTTAACTGGACATCATTTCATGACTGTAGTCGAAACTGTCATTTACTCTGACCACATGACAAAATGGGAGGGGTAGAGAGACTGTCACTGGGAATTTTTAAATTATTGTTTCAACGCAAGTCTGAATTTAGAGGTAACGCACATATTTGAAAAAGCTGCTTTCTGGTACCCAGTCAGAATGGACAGTTCATGCTCTTCACTGTCTTCTTTCTTGGAAGATGCTCATCTTCAGCCTTATTGAGACAAATCTATTTTTATGATAACTGTTACTAGTAAAGCCATCAATTGTTGTAAATTCTATTGCGTGAACTCATTTGGAGAATATTATGGTTATCAATAAGTGTTCTTGACTCCAGGCGCACAGAATTTTTAAGCATCAGATAAGACTCTGAGACAAAATATAGCATGATCCTCCTAACTCCTCTCCCTCTTGCTTAAAGACAGATGATAATTCAACAATTTTTACAGACTACAGATCTAAAGGATAACTCTAACATGTGGGCAAACTACTTCCAGCCTTCCACCCATAAATTATTGTTCAGATAAGAGCAAGATAACATGATATTTAGTATGTAAGCATCCAGCCTGTAAATATTGATGATTTCTTTGTAAAGACTTTCTACCAGTCACAGCTTTCTAACTACAGGTAAGTCTGTGTGCCAAGAAATTATGCTGAAGCCAAAGGAATTCCTACGTGGTCAGTTCTAAAAAGGAGGGTGGTAAACAAGCAATGCGCCTCTCATCGCTGACATAAAGGCACTGCGTGGGTTTCTCTGGCATCGCCCTCGCTAAATGGCAAAGCTCGCCTTTTAGATTGTTGTTCAAAAGGGCTCTCTAGCATCAGGTGCTTATATCACATTATGCTCGAGATGCCAACATTCAGGCTAAATGTTATACTCGGGGATCAATCATATACACATACAGATGGCACCGTGCATCTCTCCAATTACTGGAGGAACCGGGTGCGGGGGAGACCACGTTAGCTGAAATCATCTGTAACTTGCTTATTTTTCACGACCTCTCGGATGAGAAGGACGAGACCCGCCACGAGGAAGGACTTAGCCAGATACAGCCCTTGTTCTTCCGGGTCAACAGACCCCGCTGCGTAACGGAACTGACCTGGCACGCCACTCCCTCCTCAGGTTCTGGCGTGTCGTGAGCGAGGTAAGGATGGCAGTCACGATCTCGTTCCTTTGTTCCATGGGGACCCCCTCTCTTCTCACTTCGCGAAGCACTGCATTGGTCTAGGAGAAATGATCCAAAATAAGGAGAAAGAAAAAGTGAAAAATTAATAATAAAAAAAAAAAGCCCATAAGCAAATAAGGACAGTAAATCAATGGCTTTTTTATTACAGTTCCCCTGCTAACAAATCAATACAGTAAATGATGGTCAAAAATGGCCGGCATATATTTTGTATTTAATCAATGTACATGGCACAAAGGTAAACTCTGAAGCCCCACTGCCTTAAGTAACACATCAAGATCCTGTGCGTCCTCGCTCTTAATTTTCTCAGCACACCAATGATTTTTTTCCCTGGGAATTGCCCACCATGAGCTATTATTAGAAATGATTTTCACGTACCCTTCACTGCGCGTTGTTTGTTTTGCCTTTTAAAAAAGAGCAGTCTCTGACTTTCACTCTCTCTGTTGCCTGCCTCCCAGCTGAGGCTTTCTGCCCTGTCTTTCTTATTTGAATCATTAATTCCCTTTTCCAGCCATGCCGGCAATTTGCTTTTTGTTTTTTGTTGTTGTTGTTGTTCTGTTTTTTGGTCCCTTCATTTTCATTGCTGGTTGCAAATCAAGATCTTGCAAAGAAAGAAAGAATAAGAGTACAAAAATAAAAAAGCACTGTATATAGCTCCACGAATATCGTTCCGGCTTTGAAAATCCACTACGTATTTCAAATCATACGTACAAGGATTCTTATGCACATGGACGTGTGATCTGGGGAAGAATCACTTATACTATGGTCATGACCACAGCCCTAAAAAAAAGGCTCACAGATGAGTATAAAACACTCCAGCCTCCGCACGGCACTGGGAAACGTCAGAAGCTGCTTTGAGAAGCAGCTGAAACTCGAGCACATCGCACCCTGCTCGCTCGGCACGCAGCATCGCGTCAAAACTCAAGTCTGAAACTGTCATTTCGGTTTTACCTACGACCCTGTGTGTGCACACGCATTCGGAGCACGCACATTCACGCGACACTGAGAATGAGTACGAAAATGATGAACGGTACCCTACGGATACGGGAAACCTGAAGGAGCAGAGGTCTTTCAAGTTTTCATCATGGAACTTCTCACCACGTGGATTTATCTTCACATAACTGGTGTAGAAGCCTTTAGAACTGATAAATGCTGTTTTCCATTGAAAGTTAGTGTGGCTTCTTCGGAGATGTCATAACCAAAGCAATTGCTAAAAGGAATGAAACTGTCGCCTTCTTTGTTCTAGTGACTCGACGTACTCCTTATCCGACTGATGCCAATGCCTTCCTTTCAGGGTGCGCTCATAATCCAGTTCTCATGTAACACGAAATACCATGTCCTTGCTCCTCTGTAGCATATTACGGTGTATATGTACTATCTTCACGACAACCTTGAGAAGAGGTGTAGTGACCATTTGTTGTTCTAGTTGCCTTCCATCCACACCCAGTCCCCCCGTCCTGTTACAGCTCCCAGATCTCCTTCTGAGGAAGTCTTTCATTGTATGTAGTCTTAGAGGGAACTGTCAATCAAAACGTCCCACTATCCCCAGTCAAGGACGTGGGCCAGGCCAACCTGATTCTCTTTTCCGGGGCTTTAGACACTTAAGAAGAATGACAAAGAATGGGAAAATATTTGGAGGCTACATTTACGAGTCCAGGTCATTTTCTTTTCTTTTGATACCTTGAGTTATCCTTTCCATGAAGTCCCACTTTGTTCAAATCCACCAGAATCTGTTTCTGTTGCTTACAATCAAAAACCCTACATGAAGTGATGAAGAGAGGATACAAAGAAATTAAGACAAAGAGAGTCGAACAGGAAATAGTATCTCCACTGTGAAGGATCCAAGATAACCTGACTGGCACTAATCAGGAAAAGGAGCCCGACCCCCGCCTTCTAGGTCCAGAATTACGTCTCCTGCACCAGGCGATATACTCAGTTGGATGCTCAATGAGTCTCCAGGGCAACAGCGTTTCAGCCGTCCCGCACAGGGGAGGAAGCTCAGTTTCTCTAGGCAATTCCACTGCCAGAAGCCCGGGCTCCAAAGGCCTAAAGCGCGGGGTGCAAATTCAAACACCCACTAGAGCCAAGAAGGCAACGTGAACGGGTTACGCAGAAGTGACCGGAAGACAGCATAAGCTCTGTCTAAAAGGGCAGCCACTACAAGCAGCAGCCAACCCCGCCATTCAGAAAAGCTGGTTTGGTGGTGCTGGATTCATGAAATTTCAAAATAAACACGAAATCTGTGTCGGTCTTTTGTTTTGTTTTGTTTTTGTTTTTGAAAATTCCTGATTTTTAAATGTTGGAAACTAATTCTTTTTTTAAAACAATTTAAATATCATGTGGGCTAAACAAGAAACACCAGAACTCAGACAGCTGCCAATTTGTGACCTCTAGCATAAAAGATGTCCAATTTCAGAGAGGTCCTGGCATCAGAGGGTCTTCTAACAACACTGCGTTGCTCCTTATCTCTGATGTCCAACCTCACGTACTTAAAGCTGGTCAGGACTTCAGAAAGACATGTAGTTTATCACACACACACTATTTCCCCCAAATGCAAAACGCTTCAAATAGAAGACAAAGGACACATCTAGATGGCTCCAAAAACATGATGAAAATAAAATTCTTTCTCAACTGACTGTCTTTAAAAAGCTTTTTTTTTTTTTAAGTTATTTATCTCTTCTTTTTGCCTTTCTCATCATTTACATTTTATCCAGAGGCCCTTATTCTCCCTGGATCCTGAACAGACAGGAAGGAGGAAGGACTTAAGAAAGGAAGTCTCACGAGGCCAGGGCATCGTGTCTGTTTAGTTCACTACTTTGTCCCTATGTGCCTAATGACTTTTAATAAATATTTGTCAAATCAGTGACTAAAGAAGGAATTTGAAAAACAAGTACTGCAATTAAAAAAAAACAAAAAAGCAAAAAGCAATGGAAGGCTGCTTCTTTTTAAGAAAGGTAGTAGGGAGCTCTCGTCACAAAAGGATTCACTTCGAAGTCCACCTAAATGACTAGATCCCATGGTTTAGAGTTTCCGAAACGTCAGTCATTCTAGCACATTCTCATAATTCTTGCCAGGTTTGTGTATAAGGAATATAATAGTTAAGATTCTTCTGTAAATTGACTCCTATTTTGAATTTGTTTCAAAAGAAAAATGGAACGCCAGTGGCACTTGTCATACCAAAGAAGATGGCCATAAAACGGATATATTAAATACCAAGCTGTAAGTTTATTTCATTCCAGACAGGTGTTTCTGCTTGCTGAGGGCTGAGACTGAAGCCTGCTCCCTCTTGACGAAAGCAGGCATTGCAAGCGCTGGGGAACCTTATGGGCAGATCAGTCTAAACGAAGGCTCCCGTGACACGGTCACGTGGACGGAAAAGATGCAGAAGAGGGAGCCGCTTCCTTCCAGTGTGGACAGCCCTGGAGCCCACTTAGCGCCTCCCTGGGTGAGACCCGCGGTCCACACCACGCTCTGGACACGCTGCCCCGCTGCAGGGGACTTCAAACACTCCACAAAGGAACCTCTTTTCTCCTCAAACGTGGTCTCACACGGAACTCGACATAACAACGACGAAAACTAGAGTGGTTCTCTGAAACTGGTTGGGGACTCAGAGGCTGTCCCCTTGTCCTGCGCCATCTCCGCGAAATCCTGAGGAACTGTGAAACATCATTTGCCAACCTCGACCCAAGAGCATTTAAAATAGCATTCAACGTTTTTTAAAGTTTATACCTCGCTGGTGGGAATGCAAAACACGGCCATTCTGGTAAACAGCTCGGCAGTTTCTTATAGTTACACACATACAGTTTACACATGACCCGGAATCCGATTTCTAGGGATTTATCTAAAGGAATAAAAACTCACGTTCGTACAAAAACATGGACACAAACGTTTACAACAGCGTGAGTCATAACTGCCCCAACAACCGAAATGTCCTTCAGTGGGTAAATGGATAAACACAGGGTGGGACATCCACGTACAATCAGATTCGGCACAGAAATAACGAGGGATGAGCAACTGGTGTAGGCATCCAGCTGGATGGATCTCAGAGGCGTCACGCTGTGTGTAAGGGGACAGTAGCAGGAGGTTAAACACTGAATGACCCCGTTTATTTGACATTCTGGGAGAGGCAAATTATGGGGACAGAGAGCGAGTCAGTGGTTACCGGGGACCAGGGCGGGCGAGGGTTTATTACATACGAGCAGAATAAAGGGATTTTTAGATGATCGTGGCGGTGCTTACCTGAGTTTACACATATGTGAAAACTCACAGAACTGTACTGTTTGATCACATGAAAATTTTATAAAACGTATGTTTTAAAATTCATTTTCACCACATTTTTAGGGCAAGAAAGAACGCAGAGAACACAGTTACATATAAATACATCTAATAAATAGTAAAAAGTATAGAGAAATCTATTTGAATGATAAAACAAATTCTGTTACAAAAACATTTTTTTTTACGTTACTGGGAAAGGATGGGTGAACTCAGATTGAGCCTTCAGACCCTAAAATAGAGTATTTCGTAAAATGTAGAGGGAAAAGAAATTATTGCACAAAAGGAAATTTCAGAGCGTCCAAGAGTCTTCCTAGAGCGGCAGGAACAGTGAGATTTTTCTCCTCACGAGAGTGTCGGCTCCTGGAGGGTGGACGATATGAGGGAAATGTAAATAGCTCGTTTTCCCGTCAGCGGTAACACAGAACTATCTTCAAACAAGTACCAATTTTTAAACAGGCTCCTATTACCAAGAACACATACTCCTTCCTCTCCCCACAAAACGCAGGGAAAGGAAGCCACGGCTTTAAGGAATCACGCACTGGAGGTCGGATTTCATCTCATTAGTAATTCTTTTTCAACAGAAACCTATGGAAACGCCCTCCTATCAAGAAAAGACCGAGACTGTTAAAAAGGGCACTGGCTGTCGAAATCCCAGCTGTCGCCTCCCGCTTGCGAGCCTTTTCCGCAACTGTGAAATGGGGATGACAAGAGAACCCCTCCACAGTTCTTGGGGGGGACATCGTCCCAGTCCACACGCCACCGTGAT